GTGAAGGGATGGAAAAAATATATCACGCAAATGGAAACAAAAAGAGAGTAGAAGTAGCTATTTTATATCAGCTAAAATAGACTTTAAGCCAAGGAAAGTAAAAAAAAAGAAAAAAAGAAAAAAACCAAAAAAAGAAGGAAGGTTATTACATAATGATAAAGGGATCAATTCAAGTATAGAGAGTAGAATAATAGTTACCAGAGGCCCCGGGGGTGGGGGTGGTGGTGAGGAGAAGGGGACAGGGGAAAAGTGGTGGCTAATGGGTACAAAACTCTGCTGTCTACCCTAAATGAATCATTGTGCAGTATGTGCATGTATTGAAACAACCCACTGTACCCCACAAATATGTACAAGTAAATGTTAAAGTATTTTGAATTTAAAAAGTTACTGAGCAAAAAAAAAGTTAAGAATAGGAATTAATAATATCCTAATAATAATAATAATAAAAAGACACAAAAAAAGGAATTAATGATACCCTTAACCCTGTAACCGGGCACACCCAGCTCCCAGCTAGGCTCACCAAAATTTGATACTAGGCACATAGGTCTGGCTGCCTGCCCCCATTCAAAAACAAACCACTTAAAAGTCAAATATTGGTGGAAATGGAAGTCAGCTTTTATTCAGTAATACGGGTGACCTGAGGAGATATGTGAGGCCAACCCATCTCTCCAGTAAACCTAAAGGAAAATGGCCAGGATACAGCCACCTCAAAGACTTGGATTTACTGCAGGGTTTTTAAAGAGGGGGCTGAGTGTACCAGCCAGCTACAAAAAAATAAATAAATAAAAATAAAGAGGGGGTTGAGGGAATGGAATGTAGGAAATGAAANTCTATGAAATTTCTGAAAGAGAATTCAGAATTACCCTCTTACAGATGTTCAGGGAGTCACAAGAAAATACAGATAGAAAATTAAATAATATCTGGGGAAAAAATTCAGGAGCACAATGAGAAACTTGACAAAGGAATAGGATCAATTAAAAAAATAGAAATTCTAGAAATAAAGAATACATTATATGAATTTAAAAACTTGATAGAAATCTCCAACAGCAGACTCAATCAAACAGAGGAAAGAATCAGTCAGCTAGAAGATTAAAAACAAAATTATCAAATCAGAGGTGCAAAAAGAAAAAAGAATGAGAAAAAAATGAAATGGAAATATGGCAAATATTGGACTCTCTTAAGCAAAATAACCTCCACATAATTGGCATACCCAAAGGAAAAGAAAAAGACACAGACCTACAAAGTATAGTCAAGGAAAGAATTAAAATTTCCCAAGTTTTAAGGAATAGTCCAATATTGTGAGGGTGGTGAGGAAATCACTTACATCCTTAGTATAATGACTTAAGGACAAACTTAACAGAACCATAATATACACAACAACCATACAAGAGACCCACAATATTAAAACATCGTATTGTAACTTGGAACAATACAATGTCAATCAGTGTGTGTGTTGGGGGCTGAGTGACACCAAAGCATAGAGTTTGCTTTGGTTTTTCCATTTTTCTTACACATAAAAATCATTATTAGTCTAAAATAATTTGTCATAAATATAACATGTTTTTTGTAAGCCTCATGGCAATCATAACACAAAAAGTTATGAGACGTACTAAAAACAAATAATGGGAAATCAAAATGTTCAGCTGGAGAAAACCACTCGACTACAAAAGAAGACAATAGGACCAGAAAAAAGGATTTACAAAACAACCAGAAAAAAATAGCAAGATGGGAGTAACAAGTCCCTATCTCTCAATAATAACCCTAAATGTAAATGGATTAAATATCCCAATTAAAAGACACAGAATGGGGCCGGCCCGGTGGCGCACTGGATAAATGCGCCGCTTGGGAAGCGCGGTGGCGCTCCCACCCGAGGGTTCGGATCCCACATACAGACCAGTTCCCGCTCACTGGCTGAGCAACACTGAGGGTTGCGATCCGTTGCCGGACACGGAAAAAGACAAAAAAAAAAAAAAAAAAAAAAAAAGACACAGAGTGGCTGAATGGATTATAGAACAAGAACCAACAATACGCCGCCTGCAAGAAACTCACTTAGCCAATAAGGACTCACACCGGCTGGAAGTGAAGGGATGGAAAAAATATATCACGCAAATGGAAACAAAAAGAGAGTAGAAGTAGCTATATTTATATCAGCTAAAATAGACTTTAAGCCAAGGAAAGTAAAAAAAAAAGAAAAAAAGAAAAAAAG